TTAAGGGGCCGGACCCACGCTGCCAGCAGGTGCTTGATTGCAGCAGCCATTTTAGATCCCTGGCTGCCTTTATAACCAGATCAGTTTCCTGCTGGTAGAGGAGGCAGCAACATTGCCTGGCTGCAAGGCTGCAGCTATCATCTTGGAGGTAAGGGCAGGAGTTGTAGGGGATGGCTGGAGGCTCCTGGTCCTGGGCATGACCTAAAACTGCACTCTGCTGGGAGTGGGTGGCCTGGTGGGGCTCTCAGTGGTGTGGGAGCCCCCAGGAAATGACAGGCCAGTGACCACCCTGGTGAAAGTTGAATAGGGGCGCCTTAACCCCAGCCCGCACCATCGGGTGGGTTGAGAATAAGATCAGCAGCCAAGCACAATGACCTGCTGCTCCAGGGGTGGGGAGTGAGAGTCCCTGTGAGACCCTGGAGCACCAGTCATGGTGTGTGCGAAGGGTAACATCAAAGGAGGAGTATAGGCCAGGTGAGTTTCTGGAAGTGTCTGAGCCAGCTGGGGAGAGACCCTGCAGAGCCAGGCATACTCCCAGGAACACCTGAGCTGGGAATGGGGAACCCCACTCCAGAAGTGCAGGCAGGAGGCAAAGACCCCGCTGAGGGACTCGACTGGTCAATGCTGGGGCCAGGACCTAAGGGTCAAAAGGGCCAGGGGCCCACCGTGAGGGACAGCCACGATGAGTGTAGAAGCTTGGGGTCCTGGCTGGGCCTGATATGGGGCCAGGGCTTACAGAAGCCGAAGGTCCCCACGGTTGACAGCCACAGCTAATGGGCAAAGGCGAGGGTTTAGCTAACTGCCTGAGATGCCATCTGTGAGGCTTGGGCCATGGTGCAGGGATGGAATGGAGCTGCGGATAGCTCCCCCCAATATTGGGGTGCAACAATGGGCAGCCTCCTGCCTTAGTTAACAGCTTTACTAATTACGAACAAGGCATGGCAGACGAGACAGATGGGTGGCATGCCCAGAGGCAGGTGGGGAGCTAGCTCCAGCTAGCAAGAGATGCCCACCTTGCCACAGGGACCAGCAAGGCCCAGGAGGGATTTTCTAGTAGGAGGATAGAATGGAGCTTCCTCTAGGACCCTTTGGACAGCTTCCCTTTCAAAAATCAATTAAGAGCATCAAGGTATGGCAGGAAGGAGAGAATCACAGGTACCCTACAGCTAGAACCAAACAGGAGTCATATGGCCACCCCTGGAGCCATAGAACTGTTACACTGTCCTAAATGAGGCATCTTGAATTAGCCTAATAGCTACTGCTGTGCTCTCTTTCTGTACATCATGGACACTGTATGTTCTAGAGACTTGCAGCGAATGTTATTACCCATACAATGACAAGCATGGCACAAGCCAACTCTGGGTCTGGTTATTAACAGTGTTTTAGGAGGAATCTCTAATATCCCTTGGGATTGTGGCTTAAAGATGCCTCCTCCTTCCTATCTCCTCAGATTCCCTGAGCAGAGCTCTCAGCAGTGGTGGATCTTGATATCAACACTGACACTCCTGACTGCCAACAGTCTTCAGGAGACATTTTTGGCTGGACAGTTCCCTGGTAGAACACAGTATTTGGGTTGCACCTTTTAATATGCACGAATGAAGTATTAAAAGGTGAATCTTATCACCTATTGGAAAGCCTCAAACAAGGAGAACTCTTTAAGTAGTTCTCATTTACCAACTTGTCTCCTTTCTATTTTCAAACAATTATGAAATGACATGGTTGTACTTACATAGGTCATTGGCTCTGAAAGTTGAACTTGTCACATTTTATCTTGAACTCTTCTGGTGGATACTTCTTGGCTGTACCTGTTCATAACATGGCAATGAGATTGATCAGTTTGATAGAATTTAACATTTTTTGTAAAAGCTTTTCCTTTAGTCTAAAACATTCTTCTTACATAAGTGAATTAATTTATTTTATAGGGATATTAGGTACACTGAAAATAACTAAGTGAACTTAAAGGGTCTGATTCTACACCCTAAAATCATTATCAAGATTCCCACTACACTAAATGGATAAAGGAATGAGACCTCTATGCTTAAGTTCTAAAAACTGTATGAGGAAACACTGCTTGCTGATTTTTCTGTGTGTATTATTCTGTCCATATTGAAAATAAAAGCAGCTTATAAACTGCAAAATCATGTCTTTGTTTTCCTTTGTCCTGAGCGCTGTATGCAACAAAGCACCAGAAGGTTATTCCACATTATGGGTGTATAATATATACATTTAGTTACCCTATGACAGATTTACATTTGCAAAAGGCTATGAAACATGTTATATTACTTTGCTATGTAAACAAAAAGGCAGCTAAATAAATTAGGCACCACGCTCCCATTGATCTCTAGTGGAATTAGGGCATTTTTGAAAACTCTAATTTTCATGCTGTCCGTAACTGTTACATGTGCACATTTCTGCTTGATAGTACAACTCTCTACCATAACCTCCATAATGTGGTAGAGTGGCTGTGTCAGTAGCATAGACTGCCACCCTCCCAGACACTAAAACCCAAATCCTAGGACCGACTGATCATGGAAGGCTCACTGGATGGCCAAGAACAGGACTATGAAATAACAACTTACCCCTGAGGAGATGTACAAATGCTTTCATGAACTTTTCTGCATAGTCAAGATCAGGTTTGTGAGTTCTACCGAGCTGAACCAAATGCTGTTCCAAGGGAATGCTAGTGAGCTCTTCCACTTCTTTGGCATTATGAAACTGTCCTAATGAAATTACAAACACAGCATATCCTTGGCACTTGGCTCTCACAGATGCCTTCTTTAATATTTCCCTGTCCCATGGACTTGTTTCTCCAGCAGATATAACAATAATAACCTTGTGGCTTCTTGGTTTGGGAGCCGTTGAGAAAATATTTTTCATTGTCCACTCCATGGCATGGCCAAGAGCACCTTCTCCATTCAGCTGTTGAAGAGATTTTTCAATATGATTCCTCATTACATCTTTGCTGTTGTAGGCGATTAAACTGAACTCAACCTTTACTGGGCTCTTTCGATTCTTGGGCTTGAAACCTGGGGGAGCATGGCTCACCACTGCCACTCTATCACCTGTAGAAACAGCTCCTGGGTTAGAGGAAATGTCAAAGACATCAAGTGATCTGCTCAGGAAGTCTTTTACTTTCCCAAATTCAGCATTGCTCATTTTCTGGGAGCTGTCCAAAATGAAAGTCGCATCCACATAGGCCTGTCGTGAAAGGGCTCTTGGACGCTTGCAAAGGTCATCTGGTTTACATTTGTCTGTAAGTGAACATAACATTAGTTAGGGTTTCTCTTTTTAAGTAACAGTAGATGAGAACTGATGAACAAGTATCTGAACTCAAGTGGCATGATGTTTTGCACATTATAGTTCCCTATGCTATAACATAAATACTTCTAGTAATGTTCGGAATAATCTGTGGAAATTTAAGTCATGATTACAATCAGAAAACTATAAGGCAG